AAAAAGAAAAAGAAAAAGAAAAGAAAAAGAAAGAAAGTTAATCACCACGTTGTTCATAATAGTGAAAACCTGAAAAGAAGAAAATCTTTACCAGTAGACATTTATCCAACCCAGATAAAAGATACTTTAGGCACAGTGGCTCATGTCTGTAATCCTAGCATTTTGGGAGGCTTAGGTTGGAGGACTGCTTGAGCTCAGGAGTTTGAGAACAGCTTAGGAAACGCGGTGAGACCCCCATCTCTAAAAAAAAAAAAAAAATTAAACATTAGCTGGGAGTTACTAGGGAGGCTGAGGTACGAGATTAGCTTGAATCCGGAGGCAGAGGTTGCAGTGAGCCAAGATCACGCCAATGCACTCCAGTCTCGGTGACAGAGCGAGATTCCATCTCAAAAAATAAATAAAATAAAATAAGCTGGGAGTGGTGGCATGCGCCTATGGTTCCAGCTACTCAGGAGGCTGAGGCAGGAGGATCGTTTGAACCCAGGAGATCAAGTACAACTCTCTCTCTCTTTCTCGCTCTCTTTCTTTCTATATATATATATTTCATATTTTTATATAATAAAATTCTATATGGCAGTTAAGAGGAGTAACCTAACTTTATATATCAAAACATAAATCTCATATGTTGACTGAAAAAGAAATTTGAAAAACATGTTCAACCTAGTACCAGTTATGTAAATTTTAAAACACACCACATGTTGCTTATAAAGATATGAATGTTTATAAACGTATAAATGCAAGATCCGTGTTTTTACATGGGTTAGATGGACATACACTAAATCCATAAGAGCCTTGGAGAGAAGGTTACACAATTAAACTGAAGGTAAGTAGAGAAAGAACATCCATCTCATTTGTAATATTTTAGTTCTTGCATGTAAAAAATATTTTAAGAAAACATGAGAAAATACTGTCATTTCTGGGTTTAAAACTTGGGGTTTTTAAATTTGTAACCCAGCCACGTGTGTTACGGGCTCACACCTGTAATCCCAGCACTTTGGGAGCCTGAAGCGGGTGGATCACCTGAGGTCAGCAGTTTGAGACCAGCCTGGCCAACATGGGGAAAATCCGTCTCTACTGAAAATACAGATTAGGCGGCCGTGGCGGCAGGAGCCTGTAATCCCATCTATTCCGGAGGCTGAGGCAGGAGAATCGCTTGAACCTGGGAGGCAGAGGTTGCACTTAGCCTAGATCGCGCCACTGTCCTCCAGCCTGGGGGATACAGCGAGACTCTGTCTCCAAAAAAAAAAAAAAAAAAAAAAAAGAAATAAAATAAAATCTGTAACTCAAATACTTTTCTGTATTTTTATTTTTCAAATTTAAAAAAAGAGCTGTAAAAACGTTTCGTTGGGAAACAAATTTCAGAAATCGACTCAAAAAGAATGCAAGTACTTGAACAGTCTAACAACTTATAAATGTTCCAAAACATCAAAGATCCATCTACTCAAAAAGGCACCAAGCCCAGCCAGTTTTAAGGTTTTCTACCTAATGTTCCAGAAACAGTGTCCTAACTCATACAATGAGGGTAGCGTAATCTTGGTAAAAAACAGAGCCAGATTATTAGCCCCCACAAATTCAGCAGTGTATTAAACCACATCATCTTGCTTAAGGTTTATAAAAAGAGTGCATTCATGATTCATCAGGAAAGCAATTTATAAAGTACAGTAAAAAAAATCAAACGAGAAAAGTCTTCATCTTTATAGCATAAAGCTTAAAGTTCAGCTGACAAAAAAATAGTAAAATTTATTATGTATTTTTTTCAAATCCTTGCAAACTAGGAGTAAAACAGAATTTCTAAATATTAGTAGAATGAAGAACATTTACCTTAGTCAAAAACAACTCAGAATGCCCACTATCAGGTTCTAGTTAACAGAATAAAATTTAAATGTTCCAAAGGAGAAAGTAAATGTCAATAGTCACGGATTATACAACTGCCTACTTAGAAATTTCAAGGAGGTCCCCAGACAAATTTAGATATAAGACCGAAGAACACTCCGGTCGCCCGGAACTCCAGCCCCGCTCCCAGACCGGCGCTTGAGGGGATGCGCATGCGCGCGCCCTGCGCAGGCGCGCAGAATGCAGAGAAGGACTATGGCGAGCCAGCGCTTCCCTACGCCGTTCCACGGGCACGTGGGCCGCGGCGCCTTCAGCGACGTGTACGAGCCCGCGGAGGACACGTTTCTGCTTCTGGACGCGCTCGAGGCAGCAGCTGCCGAGCTGGCGGGGTGCGAGGAGGGGAGGGGCTCTGACGGGAAAGGGCTGAGGCGTTCTGAAGAAGTGCAGTGGCGGAGGGCCGGGACGGTGGCTATCACCGCCCTGAGCCGGAGGAGGCGGGGTCCACTTGCAGATGATTGACAGCCGGGACGCCGTAATTGAGAATTTTCCTGTACTTACAAGTAATGAGTGTGCCGGGGACACATCTCCTTTGCCAGGGGCTGCTCTGTCTCGTGAGCTCCCTGACTGCTTACCATGCAAAGGCGTCTCTTTTCCTGTCACCTGTTAATCTGAAGAACACATGTCCCTGCGAGATGCGATAGTATAACACGTTTGGAAACAAAATATTCCGGAAACGTTGATTATTAATTTTTAAAGTATTAAATATTAAAATTGCGTGGTATTATTTTGTTTACTCAGCACATAGCATCCTTAACAAACATGAAAGAAAGTTGTGTTACTGGAGGGGGGAAATATTTTTAAACCCACTGGATAGCATACTCTAGCACCAACCAGTCCTCACTTGTGGCTACAGAGCACTTGAAATGTGGCTAGTGCTACTGAGGAACTGAATTTTTCATTTAATTGTTACAAAATAGAAAGTTACATCCAGCTAGCAGACAATAGTCTACCCTAGCACTTTATTTAAATGGATTTGTTGAAGTGATCGCCATCAATTTTAAATTAATAGCAGAAAGAATGAATACTGACATTGTGATTTTTAAATGTAAGGAATTTGTGTTGTTAGATTTGTTTGAAGATGAGGTGAACTGGGTTTTCTCAGGATGGAACAAACAGCTGTCAGATTTCAAAGATCTATATTGTATTTATTTATCCCTCTTAAACTTGGTCATATTTTTCCACGTATAAAATGCCCCAGCTCTTATTAAACTAGTCTTTCATTGTAGATGATGGAACTTTTGGATTTACTGGAGTATAGAGTGGAACAGTAGTGTTTTATAACTTGTCTTTTCTCAAGATAACCCAGAAAGATTTACAAGCACAAATTGCACTGCAAAGTATGCTGTAAAAGGAGCTGATTTTGTTATAAAGTCTTGGGTTATTTCTAGTTTGGAATTCTAATTATTTATGAGACCATGATAGTTATTTTCAAAGAGAAGCCACCTGGTGAGATTCACAGACCTTACTACCACCTAATAAAGACTTGTCAGATGTGTAGACTGGTTCCAAAAGTTTAAAACCTCTGGAGCTTGTCACTGGGTAGTTGTTTTGGGAGTTTAGTGCTAAAAATTTCCCTAAATGCCATCAAGCTGATCTTTGTGATAGGGATAATTTATGCTTTTGATGCATGTGTAACATTATAGAGGCCTGGCACTGTGGTTTATTACTGTAGTCCTAACTACTTAGGAGGCTGAGGCGGGAGATCACTTGAGCCCAGGAGTTAAAGGCTGCGGTGAGCTATGGTGGCACCACTGCACTATAGCCTAGGTGACAGAGCAAGAGCACGGATCTAAAAAAGAACTTCCAAGATTATAGGCAAGAAAATAAATTTAATGGAAAGATAAAGTACGGTAGAATGAAGATTTTAATAGTTAACAGCATTCTCGGATGGCTAACATTAGAAGATCAGATACTATTATCTGAATTAGCTTATAGCTGTACAGAAAAGGAATTTTTGTCCTGCTCTATTACTGGGGGACCTTTTAATTCACTAGGATATACTGATGGCTCTATGAATGTTAGGTGTTAAAAATGATAGAGGAACCTTTTATCAAAAATAAGTTTAGTAATAATACAAACCTTATCATTTTAGGAAATACTAAGCTAGGAGCTCCTTGTGCGAAGGAATGGTATCTTTCACATTAAGATTTCCAACCCTGGATTAATGTTTTTCCATACTTTTTAATGTAATGGTTTGTCGAAATTAACTGAAAGCCATGTTTGGTAATATATAACTTTTGTAGACTTAAATTATATTACATACCCAAAATATTAGTAATTTTGAGTTATGCAGTATTAAGTATGAAGTAGTTGTCAGAAATTACAAATTTCTATTTTCATGTATTTGCAGGTTAGTGATGATGCTAGAGAAATATACGTGCTAGAAATAAAGCTAGCACGAGAGTTTTCTGTGAAAAGTATTTTGATTCTACTGTACTAATATTTATTTTGTTTTTTTTTAGAGTGGAAATATGCCTAGAAGTAGGGGCAGGGTCTGGTGTAGTATCTGCATTCCTAGCCTCTATGATAGGTCCTCAGGCTTTGTACATGTAAGTATATCATATTCATCTAGATCTTCCACTGACAGGTTAACCATGATAACTCTAATGAAATAATTTTTAAATAGACAGTATGTATCTTATAGTATTTAAGCATAGCAAAAACTCAGATTACAAACTATGCTTCCCTAAAAATTATTCATGTTCAAACTGTTCCATCATACTGCATAATTGTAGAAGCAGCATAATTTTAGATCGTCTCTAAATTTGATTTATTTCTTAGGTAAATAATTTGATATAAGAAATTTAAAGTTGCTTAAATTTATAGAAAATTGGAGAATATAGAAAAGTATAAAGAAGAAAATTAAAATCACCTATAAATTTTACCATACATGGTCCAACTGAGTTTCCTTCTGTTTTTTTTTTTTTCCATTTCCTGTGGTTTTTTTTTTTTTTTTTTTTTTTTTTTGAGACAAAGTCTCGCTCTGTCACTCAGCATGGAGTGCAGTGGCGTGATCTTGGCTCACTGCAATCTCGGCCTCCTGGGTTCTTGCCATTCTTCTGCCTCAGCCTCCTGAGTAGCTGGGACTACAGGCACCTGCCACCATGCCCAGCTAATTTTTTTTGTGTGTTTTTAGTAGAGATGGGGTTTCACCATGTTAGGCAGGATGGTCTTGATCTCCTGACCTGGTGATCCGCCTGCCTTGGCCTCCCAAAGTGCTGGGATTACAGGCATGAACCACCGTGCCTGGCCCATTTCCTGTGTTTTTAATTTTGTCTCATAAACATTTTCCTATCAAAAATTGCCTTTAAATTTCATTTTTGGTGGCTGCATAGTACTCCTTCGTTGGATGTATCATAATTTCATAAATTCCTTCAGATGTGTGTGCATGTATGTGTATTCTACTCTTGGACATTGTATCAATATAACAGTCTTTTTCATCAGTAGAACAAATCCTTGTTTTCTTCTTATTTGCCATTATTGAATACATTCTAATTTTTTTTTCTAAATCTGTTCTGTGTAGAATTAATGGAACATTCCTTGAAATTACTCAGAAACAGATTTGCCTTATAGACATAGGATAGTTTCCTTCCATTTCTGTTTATAGGTGCACTGATATCAACCCTGAGGCAGCAGCTTGTACCCTAGAGACAGCACGCTGTAACAAAGTCCACGTTCAACCAGTTATTACAGATTTGGTAAGCTAATCTTTGTCCAATAATAATTTTCTTTTCAAATAAGGTTAAGATGTTTTAGGTCAAAGAAACTTTGGTAAGTAATTGACTTTTGACCCACTAAGCAGTATACCCTATACAAAGTAAATTCTTCGTTGATGTAATCCATCTTTTCCACAATTCAAAAGGAATTTATATTAACTTATATAGATCAGACCTCTTTCAGTCAGAAGTTATAGTGAACCCTGTTCAAACTGGCTTAAATTTAAAAAGTTAGTCCAGTTAGTTAGTGCAAAGGCTAAAGTTAGTGTGTGCAAAGGCTCACACCTTTAGTCCCAGTACTCTGGGATGCCAAGGCAGGATGATTGCTTGAGCCCAGGAGTTCGAGACCAGCTTGTACGATATAGTGAGACTTCGTCTCTACAAAAAATAAAAATTAAAAAAAAAAAGCTGGATGTGGTTGTGCACACCTGTGGTGCCAGCTACTTGGGAGGCTGAGGTGGGAGGATCGCTTGACCCTGGGAGGTTGAGGCTGCCTTGAGCCATGATCATGCCACTGCACTCCAGCCTGGGGAACAGAACAAGGCCCTGTCTCAAAAAAAAAAAAAAAAAACAAAAATTTGATGACTTCAGCACAGCTACTTCCAGGAACTCTAAGAATGTTATAAACGTCTTTTTCTTATCTCTGAACTTCTCTCTGGTGGCTCTATTCCTAGGCAGTCTTTCCCTTCATGGTAACAGGATGTTTGCATATCTGTATCTTATTTCTCAACACCTTCCCGAGGAAAGAGGCCCTTTCTATTCAGTTACTGTAGAAGAGGCCCCAGAATGAGTATTATCTGGATCAACTTGGGTTATGTGCCTATCTGTCAACCTTTTGCTGTGGTCAGGGGAGATTTGAATATGGAGATGATTGGCTTCAACCTGGCTCCTAGTCCCATCCCAGGAGCTGAGTTGGCATAAACCCTACTCAGGCCACTTAGATAGAGAATGATGGGAGGTAGAGCTTCCCTAACAAAAGTCAAGGAAGTTAAATCAGAAGAAAGGGGCAGTGGGTCCTCAGAAGGTAAAAACAACAAATGACAACTGCACAACCATTGTTTTAAGAAGTTAACAGCACACATTTTCAAGTGGCAGTTTTAAATTTGTGGGTTTTTAATTTATGTATGTGAAATACCTTTTTATAGGCAAAAATAATAATAGCATGCACTAGGTAGACATATGAAATACAAAATACTTCTGTACTCCTTAACCTACACTTTTCTTACACTGATGAGCGTAGGTAGCTTTCCTGTTTGCTTTTTTTTTTTAATTTGTAAATGATTTTGTAGCTTAGAAGGAATTAAGTCAAAGAGATAAGAAATTATTTTATATTATTAGAAGTTGTTAACTGCTAATAAAAGCTAGGGTATCAAAAAGGTACTCCGGTAATTTGCATGAGATCAATGTGGTGATTTTTTTTTTGTATTTTAAAAATTTCTTTCTTTTTTTCTTTCTCTTTTTTTCTTCTTCTTTTTTTTTGAGACAGTGTCTCACTCTGTCGCCCAGGCTGGAGTGTAGTGGCGCAGTCTTGGCTCACTTCAAACTCCGCCTCCCGGATTCAAGCAATTATCCTGCCTCAGCCTCCTGAGTAGCTGGGATTACAGGCACCCACCACTGCGCCTGGCTAGTTTTTTGTATTTTTAGTAGAGACTGCGTTTCATCATGTTGTCCATGGGTTGGCCAGGCTGGTCTCGAACTCCTGACCTCAGGTGATCCACCTGCCTCGGCCTCCCAAAGTGCTGAGATAACAGGCATGAGCCACCATGCCTGGCCTAAAAATTTCTTTAATGTTTCCATAATTAGTGTTAAGTAAGTGTTTTTGATAGAATGGTGAAACACCAGAGATAGAAGAAACTATAGAACATTATCCTGTAAATGATGGTAGGTATCTGTACAGATATGGGAAAAATTGTGAAAATGTTAGCAAATATAGTTGTAAACTTACATCCAAGTCTATACAGATTATACAGAATTAGAGTTTGCTTTCTTATTTCATTTTCTAAAAGTGAACCCAGAATATAAATATATGTGCTGTTGAGGAGTACAGGCTTTTTAATATTCATTCTGATAGTTTAATTTCCTTATTTTTACTTAATAGCCTATATTATTTTTCTGAATGAAAACGTAAAAATACTTAACTTCGTTTCTCTCTACAAGTGCAGGCCCTAACACATTATTTTCCCAAAAACATGGAAGATTATTTTTAAAGATTGATTTGTCAATTATTTAATTCAGAGTTTAATGTAAAATTCTCACTATTGTTGAATACATTTAGGTCAAAGGCTTGCTACCAAGATTGAAGGAAAAAGTTGATCTTCTGGTGTTCAATCCCCCCTATGTAGTGACTCCACCTGAAGAGGTAAAACATACAACAAAATTTAATTATTAATATTTTCAATTATTTTGTTTGTAAATTCAAATGAATGTCACCCTATGACATCGATCAGCTGCTGCTATCACAGACTGCTCTGATTTTACTCCTAATTGTCAGTAATTGAGTCCTATTAATAGACCTAGGAAAGGAACCTTAAATGATGGAAATACAAACTGTGACACATATCTGTCACTAAAAATCACATTCGTATCAGGCCATGGTGTTTATATTCATATATTTGAATATACATGTACATATATATTACACATATCCTTTATCATGAATAAAAAATTTGCAGAACAAAATGTTTTGACCTGCCGGGCACAGTGGCCCACTCCTGTAATCCCAGCACTTTGGGAGGCCGAGGTGGCAGATTACTGAGGTCAAGGGTTCAAGACCAGCCTGGCCAACATGGTGAAACCCCGTCTCTACTAAAAATACAAAAATTAGCCGGGCCTGGTGGCACACACCTGTAATCCCAGCTATTTGGGAGACTGTCACAGGAGAATTGCTTGAGCCTGGAAGACAGATGTTGCAATGAGCCGAGATCGGCCAGTGTACTCCAGCCTGGCTGACAGAGTGAGACTCTGTCTCAAAAAAAAAAAAAAAAAAATTTTTTTTAAATCAATCTTAAATTCACATAGGAATTCCTTCTGAAAGTTTCTGGTTTCCTCCTTTCACAAGTATTTCCAAAAAGTGAAAGAGTGGAACCAATTCTCATTTCAGATAGGGAAAACAAATAATCTTGAAGTATATTATTTTTTAAAATCTCGGTAATGAATAGGTAAATCGTGTTAACCTTTTCCCAGGAATGGTCAAAGTTTAATAATGGACTAAGACTAGCTTTCCTTTAATTATTATGCTTTTTTAATTCTTTGATAATTATTCTCTGGCAAGGCTAGTAAACATTATATTCACCTCAATGCCAAGATGGGAAGAATCCATTTGGCTGCCATTGCTACTAATGGCAGTTAAACAGCGAAAAAGCTATTGCTGTGCTGACATATGAACTCATATGACAGGGAAGTCAGAAGGTGAACAGCCGTGGAGAGAAATGCAGCTTCTTAAAGCTCTTTAGGAAAGCACTATCCAACTAGTGGGAAGATTAATCAATGAAAAGGAGATTCTGGGAACATGGTGACCTGAATGGGTTTCCTTTCTTCATGTTTCTAGCCCTAAGCCACATGCTTCTGAGCCTTACAGCTGCTGGGATGTATACATGATTGAGTGCAGGCAATGCCTTGGGCTTTTTTGCTTTCCCAACAGAAAGAAAACCTGTCATATTCTCATGAGCTGGGCAATTAGCTAGAAAGCAGGATAAAATACAACACAACAAAGATGTCTTGGAGCTTAAAAATACGTTTTACACAGTAAAACATCAGGCAGTGAATTAAAAGAGAATGTGGTCACTGTCAAGACCTGAATCAGTGGTCTGGAAACGCAATGAAAAAAAGATTTCAGTGCACAGAGTGTAAAGATACGGAGAAGAATTCACAAAGGTAAAAGAGACGAGACTCAGCGATTAGATCCAGGAAACATAATATACAAATAATAGGAGTTTGTATTTATAATAAGCTGTGGGTATACTTACTGATATATCCAGAAACATGAATTAAGATGTTGGTTTGTGCCAACAGCACAAATGGGGAGTATAACCCAGGAGAAAAGTAGAGAGAATGCCAGGAAAAGGAAGTCTCCAGGAGGAAAGTCTTAAAACCAGAGGAAATGATACATTTCCTAATATGATTAACTTTGTGGAAAATTGTGTTGAGAAGCTTATGATAGGTGTGGGAATGATTAGAGTCAAAAAAATTAAGCAAATGGACATAGTGAATGCCCATCAATAGCCAACTAAGATGCGATACTTTTCTTCCAGGAAATATTATATAACCCTTAAAAGAATGAATTAGAAGTAGAGAGGGGGCTCTCACCATGTTGGCCAGGCTGGTCTTGAACTCCTGACTTCAGGTAATCTGCCTGCCTTGGCCTCCCAAAATCCTGAGATTACAAGCATGAACCACCACACCCAGCCTCGATTCACTTTTAAATTTTATGTGGAGTCATAAAAACAGGGTTTTGAAACATTGAAGATGATCTGGCCATGATCTTTAATCTTCAGAATCCTTGTTGATGTCATCAGCATTGACAAGATGGCAGAGAATTTCCGTCTGGTCTGTGACACCAAGGGTCACTTTGGTGTACATCATATTACACCTGAGGAGGCCAAGTACAAGTTGTGCAAAGTGAAAATCTTTGTGGGCACAAAAGGAATCCCTCATCTGGTGACTCATGATGCTTGCACCATCTGCTACCCTGATCCCCTCATCAAGGTGAATGACACCGTTCAGATTGATTTGGAGACTGGCAAGATTACTGATTTCAACAAATTTGACACTGGTCACCTGTGTATGGTGACTGGAGGTGCTAACCTGGGTAGAATTGGTGTGATCCCCAACCCTGGATCTTTTGATGGGTTCACCTGAAAGATGCCAATGGCAACAGATTTGCCACTCGACTTTCCAACATTTTTCTTATTGGCAAGAACAACAAACTGTGGATTTCTCTTCCCTGAGGAAAGGGTATCCACCTCACCACTGCTGAAGAGAGAGACAAGAGACTGGCGGCCAAACAGAGCAGTGGGAGAAATGGTCCCTGGGTGACACGTTAGGTTTTCGTATGTAATTAAAAATAATGTGGCATGTTTAATAGCAAAAAAAAAAAAAAAAAAGAAAGAATGAATTAGAACTATATCAAATGATATGAAGAGATTTTCATAAAGTATTGTTGAATGAGAAAAGCAAGATGTAAGTAAGCGTATAGAATATATCCGGTCTTTGTAAAACATGGCAAAAAAGAAAAACCTGTGGTGTCGAAGATAGGCAAAGGCAGACAAACGAAACAGTAAAATCAAAAAGTGTGGCTTTTTTTTTCTTTTTCTTCAAGCTCTGTTCGACCTGCTTTTTAAAAGCAGGAATGTGAACATTTCTCTTCTTCATAAAGGTATATGTGCATAAGGTTATAGCTATAAAGCAATTATTTTTAATGAGGAAATATATGTTATATTAAATGAATGACTAGCAGACATTATTGTGTAAAAATAATTTAAACTAAAATATGGACAAAGGGCTCAAAAGGAAATAGGAAGAAATTAGTTGTGTAGGGTTAAAGTAACTTCTGAGGGACATCTTCAAAACATTCTTTAATCTTAAAAATAATGTACAATAGAGCAGTCTTGGTGGCTCATACCTATAACTCCAGCACTTTGGGAGGCTGACGTGGGAGGATCACATGAGGCCAGAAGTTCTTGACCAGCCTGGGCAACATAGTGACAGCCCCCTTTTCTACAAAAAATTTAGAAAATTGGCCGGGTGCAGTGGCTCACACCTGTAATCCCAGCACTTTGGGAGGCCAAGGTAGGGGGATCACGAGGTCAGGAGATTGAGATCATCCTGGCTAACACAGTGAAACCCCGTCTCTACTAAAAATACAAAAAATTAGCCGGACGTAGTGGTGGGCACCTGTCGTCCTAGCTACTCGGGAGGCTGAGGCAGGAGAATGGCCTAAACACGGGAGGC